CCAGCCATGCTGGCTGGGGAATTCTGGGAGTGGAAGTCCACATCTTAAAGTTGCCAAGGTTGAGAAACACTGGCCTAAAGATTAGGAGCTGCTTGTCTAGTGAATTCTGACCTTTTCTGAAATGCTGAGACAGGGCTTCTCTTGCTCTGATCTCCTTCCCTGTCTAGGTACTTCTTCCCCAGTTTTGTTCCCCTTCTCTTTCCTTCTAGCACAGCTAGTCCTTCCTCTTTCTCTGTTTTCATTTCTGTTGCTGCTGCTGCTGCTGCCTCTTGTTTTCCCCACAACAGCAACCCTGTGAGGCGGCTTGGGCTGAGACTGGCTTTGTGTGAATATGTGTATGTTTCTATGTATGCTTTGGGTGAATATGTATATTTCTGTCTGCCAGAGTCGTTTCTGCATATGTGAGAGAATCCCTGAATATGCAGGGATCTATTCATTGTATAAATGCAGTTTTATTTTATGGGCAGTTAATTTTAATAAGCAGTTATTCTATTCTGTTCTGTTCCATGCTATTCTGTTCTATTTTTGTCCTGGCCGTACACTGTTATGTGATGTGGCTTCTGGAAGGTGTATCTGGAGCTACATGTACACACCTGCACACAAATGTGACACATACACACATTTGGTGGGAGATCAGGAATAACTTCCTAATGGTAAGAAGTGTTCAGCTGTGGAACAAACTGCCTTGGGAAGTGGTGGATTCTCCTCTGCGGGAGGTGTTTAAACAGGGGCTGAATGGCTATCTGTCAGGAATGCTGTAGGAGGGGATTCCTGCACTGGGCAAGGGGTTGGGGTAGGTGATCTCCAAGATTCCTCACACCCTTTACATTCAATGGCAAATGTCAAGGACAGGTTTCAGCTGGAGCTGGTCATCCTGGCTGGACAAGAGAGGAAGCTGGATAGTGTGCTGGGTATAGCAGCACAGGCACTGATTTTGCCTGTGCTGGGGTAGGTAGGTAGAGATAGGAAGAGATAGAGATAAATGAGAGATAGAGATAGATAGGGATGGATGGATGGATGGATGGATGGATAAATGATAGATGATAGATTTCTGCATACTCTTCGTTTGGGGGGGATTGTCTTTAATTTATTTTGGTTAAATATAGTACCTATTTTTTGTTCTTTCAATTTTTTTTCAGAATTTTCATTAGGGCAGGGTAATGAGATTTATGGTTGTTACACACAGGTAAGGAGTATTTAGAGAAAAACCCCAATTTTCCATACCAAAATTAATAAGATTTCACCGATGAGTTTACAGCCCTTTCTGCATATAATATAATTTGAACTAATGCCTTTGGGAGCGACTAAGCTGTCCAGATATTTTTTCCCTCTGGATAGTTATAATTTACCTCTTTCTCTATATTTGAAAAACCATTTTATCATCAGAAATCCCAATGAGAGGACTATTGATTTAAATTAGTAATTCATGTATTTAATTTTATTTTTTTCCCTATTAAACTGACTTCGTAACTCAGCCCCAAATATATATGCACAACTAGTTTTCATTATTACCGCATTGAGTTTATTGGTGTATTACATGTTGCTGTGGATTTTTGTTTTTTTTTTCTTTCCCTTTTTCTGTTCTTTTTTCTTTTTCCATATAAAATAAGAAAATCTTTTCAAGTTTGTTGAACTATATGCTCTGAAATAAACAGAGTTATTGTGGGTCTATGAAACAAATTCTTTTGTTTAAAAAATGTAATGAAAGCCTACTCTGTTCTCATTGTTGCAGCTGCTTCCATACTGTTGTAATTTGTTGGAAGCAAACATAACATTTCTGAACCTTGTAGAGACATCTGACAGTGGATACAGTGTTGGTGGGACATCCTTGTTTCTTGTTAGTTCAGGTGCATGTTTCTGCAATATTTATTATTACAGTTGTTGTTCACAGGCTGGGGAGGCGGTACATCCTGTGGCTCACAAGCACTGGACAGTTTATATTTGGCATTGCTGTGGCATTCACATTTAACTACAACAGTTTCGTGATTGTCCGTTTCCTCCTTGCAATGGTAAGAGTACCAGCGTATCTTCTTTCAAACAAAATTCTTTGTGTTGCTTTTTTTTTTACTGGTTTTCAAAAAGTACAAATTGCTGCATTTTCCAACCTAGTTAAAAGTAAGAGTGTTTGGAGTTAAAACGACTGGATTTAATCATATTAAGATAAAATGCAATCCAACCACTTCATTTTAAGGCCACGATTCAGGGACTTTCCTTGATGCTTCAGAAAAATTGACAGTGTTGCTTAAGTGCTGTAATATGGATGTGGTCTCAATCCAGCCAGAGTCAAGAGCAGAGTGGTTAATTTTTTCATCTCTCCCATCTCCTAAATAATGGGTCTTAGATGGCATTTCCCCCTTATTTTATATATACTTGTATTGCACAAGAGTCCAGGGAAGTGAACATGAGTTGCCCTATGTTTAAATCATTTTGCCCAACTTCTTTTCTATGGGGAAAGCTGTGTGCTGAGAGAGCGATTGTCCAAAGACCAGCTGATAAATTTCATGACCATCAGGAGATTTGAATCTGGACCATCCCTCCCTGCCCCAGGTCCATGCTGTTGTACCTTGCCTCCTGGGCATCCTTTGGCTGGATTGTGTCCACATTAGTATCCAGTATTATTGCTCCATTCATTACTGTAGTACCACTTTCCCTTTTAAGATAGATGTCTTGATGTTCTGAGCATGTGCCATCCCTGATCATCTTCTTTTAATTACAAAAAGTCTTACAGAGGGAGACCAGACTGAAGCCATTTTCTTTTTTCTGTCTTTTTTCCCCTCCCAGGTTTCAAGTGGCTACTTGGTGGTAGTGTTTGTTTATGTGACTGAATACACAGGCATAAAAGCTCGCACCTGGGCATCCATGCACATCCATGCATTTTTTGCTGTAGGAATAATGGTTGTGGCCCTTGTGGGCTACTTGGCACGGACCTGGTGGGTCTATCAGATCTGCCTTTCTGTAGCAACTCTCCCCTTTGTCTTGTGCTGCTGGATGCTCCCAGAGACACTTTTCTGGTTGCTCACAGAGGGAAGATATGAAGAAGCACAAAAATTAATTAATGTAATGGCAAGATGGAATAAAGTAAGCACTCCTTGTAAAATTGCTGAATTATGCCCGATGCAAGATGATCTTGTCAATAGCAGAATGGGGGATCATGAGAGCTCTCCCATGAAGAAGCACAACGTCTTAGATCTGTTCCATAACTGGCACATTGCAAGAAGGACCATTACAGTCTGGCTGATTTGGTTCACTGGGAGTTTAGGATATTATGTATTCTCCCTCAGTTCCGTGAACTTTGGAGGCAATGAATTTTTAAATCTGTTTCTCATAGGTAAATATTATGTGATGTAACTTACAGTACTTGGGATAGAAATGCAACCGTACATGTCCAGGGATTGTCACTTTTGCTAGTTACTTCCAAGCTCAAGTCCATGTTAGTATGGTAGCCATTTCATAGACCACGACTTTACACAAATGGGTTGGCCAGGTAATTCTGCGTCCATGTGGTTCATGGAATAGCTGACTTACAAATAATTGTAATAAATAAATGTTTCAAGCTGGAAAAGAAATATATAAAGAAGTTACTTCCCCCTTCATCACAACAAGTATGAATAATTTTAGTAACTTACCACCTTCTCTTAAAATAGAACAAACTACTTCCCATATCCCTCTCTTATCTATAAACAAATCCATAAAGCCTCATCATTTCAGCCCTGATGTGAGCAAAAGTCCATTAAGGGTTAACAGATAACAACATATCTATTTTAACCTTGATTAAATAAACCAACTTTATATTCCTTCCTTTTACTTCTAACAATCTTAATCCTTAGTCCCTTCAAATAATGTTGTAGACCTCAATTTCTTTTCATTTTTTCTTTGTCCCTTCTCACAAATTTCTTCAAAAGTATAACAATCCTCTTTTGTAAATCCAATATAGGAAAATTATCTAGGTCACTCTCTTGGTTTGTTATTTGCACATCCCTTTTAATTATTAAGACATCAGCCAGTTTCTTTTGTATGTCTAGTGTAACACCTTTTTCCATGTCATTCTTGTAGCCTGTCATTTTTAAATCCACTTTCAACTCTGTCTTGATCTTGTCAGGTAAAACTTGTTGCTTTTCCATAACATCTTTTAAACACAGTCTATCTATAGAGGCAGACACTATTAAAATTAACTTCAGGGTCCATTGTTCAAAAATATCCTTCAATATGTCCAGTGTTAAGATATTTTGCTTCATTTTGTGAGTTGAGTTTGAGTTTCTTCTCCTCTAATTATAATCTTTAGTTCCCTCTAGTGTCCAATTTTTTAAGTCTTTTTTTTTTTTAAAGAAAACTCAAAACAAAAATGTTTTCCCACAGGAAGGATTCTTTACTAATTCTAAAATCTTATTTCAAATTTATCTGGACCCTCAGTCTGTTTGTAACTTTCTAAAATCAAAGTTTTAATCACCCTTTTGTTGTTTATTCCCCAATTTTTTTAAGTTCTTAAACTTATAGTTAAAACTTCTTTCGCTAAGGATTGAAGGAAACTCACCTGGTACTGTAAAACTTACTGATCCAAAGGTTTCTAATAGCTGAAAAGCAGTTAACAGGCAATTTCTGAAAGTGATTAGAAAAGGAAGTATGCAAACTTAGTATCCTTTCAAAGATGCCAACCATGGTTTAAACAAGGTGGTTATCCCCTCATCTCCCAGACCTCTCTCCTGCAAGTACTGACTGTACTTGTGTATTTATGTTCTGACTGTCCTGTGTTGTTTTTCATATCTTTGTTTCCCTACCTTAAAATATCTGGCTATTCTGTCTGATTTTAATTGGCTTATCTTGTCTGTATGAATTTGTCTTCATGTAAGCTGGTTCACTTAATCATAATTCAGAATTCCTGAGTATGCAATCTTCATTTCTTAGCTTCTGCACACATGGGCAATTGGGTGGTAGGGATGTTTATATATCCTTTTCCATGAATGTTCAGTTTCTTACATTCTTCCTCTTATGTCAAGATGAGAAAAATCATAAATATATTCTGTGTTACATGTTGAATTATATGCATAGATGGTAGCCATGCATCAATTAACAGGGCTTATTTAAATAAGTAAATTAAAGAGCAAACAATAAGCCAAATACATAACGTGTGAAAGCTTAATTCCATATTTAATAAAATGTAGATACACTTCCACAAGCTATTGCAAAGGGCAGGGGAAATAAGCCCTGATATACAAAGGATCAGAGGGCTGTTTTCCCTTTTGTTGTAGAGGAGTATAGAGTTGGCCTTGAAGATGGAATTCAACAACATTCCGTAAACACCAGCTTAGGCCTGGAAGGGAGAAGGTAGTGAGAAAGAAACTCAAGTTTGCCCTACCTTGATCCTCTTTGGTATGGGAGGGGGGGAGAAAGGATTTCTATCAGGGTTCCAAGATTCTGTTATTATACTCTTTAACAATAAATTAGAGTTCCAATAGTTCTTATAGTATCTGTTTCCTGACCTGGTCTACCTCAAAGGGTTGTCCTCTTTGTTCAGTGAACTTCTGCACACTTACTTTAGAATAAAGAAAGGAAAGACAGGTTTGTGGTACATATTTAACCATCCCCCCCCCCGCCCCCCATTAACAAGATGCAGAGGAAATCATACTAACCTAACGGGTATGATTCAGACAAGGTAAAGGACCTTTTAAGTCCTCCCGGGGAATGTTCAGTGTGTGCTTAGATCCCTTCCACTGAAATTAGCGGGCCCCCAAATAATTCAGTTTATATGGATTGTTCCTGTTACTTGGATATATTCAGGATCAGGATATAAATACCAATTAATTGGCATGCTTAAAAGTGTTTTCCCTTCCACACTAAATAAACATTACAAGTTGAGTCACTATTACAAAGTTATGTCCAAAGAACTGGTTGAGCCTTGAGTCACAGAACAAATAATCCTTTAAAAAGACATATTGTAGAGGTTGGAAGGATGGCCAATTTTCATTTCTCTGAAGTATCTTTCCTCAGTGGCAAGTGCATTTCCATTAATTACATTCAGTAATTGAACCAACTTTATGAGATAAAGTAGGCCAAATCTTATTGCTCCCATTTTGTGGATGAAGAAGAATGAGACATAGAGGCTTAACAGCCTATGTTAGCTTTTCCCAACCCAACATTGTTCAGATTTAATTTCAACTTCCATAATCCCTGGTCAGCATACATGTGGGGTAGGAATTATGGGAGGAACCAGCATGCCTAAAAGACACAGAGTCAGAAAAGTGGGCTGACCAACTCAGTTTATATTCGTTAGGGATATGGAATCCTTTATGCAAATGCATAGACCTAAGTAAGCTATCAGGTCTGTTGAATGAAAAAGAAGCTATTTCTTTAGGAAGCAGATAAAAACTGTGGAGAAATATCAATGCTGTTGTGTCTTTATGCAATTAAGAACTTTTTAAAAAACACTAATTTTCTAATGGCAGGTGCCGTGGAGCTTCCGGCATACGTCATTGCCTGCATAGGAATGGACAGAATAGGGCGAAGGAACACTTTGATCCCGTTCCTCATGATGAGTGCAGTGATCTGTGGGGTGGTGATGCTTATACCTCAGGTGAGAGACTCACAGCTAGATCCTATTGGATCCTATAGGAATACATTTGATGTATTTAATTTGGGGTGCTTTATTTGGTTTCCCATATTGAGCCAAAATAACTTCTTTCCACTCTATGATTCTAAGTGAATTAACATTCCTTTGCCAATGTAACATTCCTATGAACATGCTTAGAGGGAACTTTAAAAAATGAAATTGCAGCCTTTAGGCTTACAAGAGCAGTTAAATTGATAAACTTGTTACAAATATTTATTACAATGGTTGCCAGCTTATGATGATGGCTTTTATTGTTTTACAGTTTTTATAGCTCACCCAACTAAAAAGATTCTGGGTGGGTTAAAACAAGTCAAAATTATAGACACTACAACAGAACAAAACAAAATTATAAAAAACAATAGAAACAATAAATCAACAATAAATCAACATTCCCCCAAGATAGATACTAATAAAACTTACTTAGGGTTGGAAATCTGGTGAAATAAAACTGTCTTTAAGGGTTTCTTCTAAAAACAATGGGGGAGGGAACTTTACAGACTTCTGGGGGTAATGAGTTCCAAAATATGGGGGCTACATACAGAAAACTGGAATTAACTATTGAATAAAGGAACCACGATTATTGTCTGTTGTGAACTAGAGGAGCAGAATGGATTCCTTTATGTTTAGAAGAAGTCTTACCTGAATTCTGGTGCATAAGCATAAAACTATGTCAGTTCATTCTCCACGTGCTTTACATATTCTCTTTCCTCTTAATAGAATTTCAATACTCTAAGTATATTAGCAAATATGGCTGGAAAGTTTGCAATAGGAATTGCATTTGGCCTTATCTACCTGTATACGGCAGAGCTCTATCCAACAGTTGTACGGTGAGATTTTTTCTTCTCTTTACACGTAGTGTTAATAGTATCCATATATGACGTTAGTACTTCATGGAAAATATTTTCTGCTGCAACAGTAGCCATTTAAAATGGATAAAAGATGGGTTACAATTCAAGTGAATAAGACCATTTTTGGTATTGCAGGTCCCTTGCTGTTGGAAGTGGGAGCATGATGTGCCGAGCTGGGAGTGTGGTTGCACCTTTCTGTGTCTACCTGTCAAGTGTATGGATCTTCTTCCCGCAAGTAAGTCCCATATCTAAGAGTAGCACCCAACTAAAATGCACACATAATATTTTGCATTATTTCTCATTCCAGCCAACCCCCTCATTTGAATGACATTTCCTTTCTTTTAGTTGATTGTTGGAATCATGGCCTTCTTGAGTGGTGTGTTAACACTGATGCTGCCAGAAACACTTGGAAAACCGTTGACAAATACATGGGCTGAAGCTGCAGAGCTAGATGACCAACTCACCCCAAAAAACCGTTCAGAAAAATCCCTTCCAGCACAGAAGAATGCAGCACTAGAGAAAATGGAAATGCTAAGCCAAGGAGCACATGGCACTGATGGATAAAATCATTCCTTTGGTTTGTGCCACCCTGTGTGATTTTATTTGCAACATCTTAACAGATGGTCCACGTGCCTTGTAATTGGAACATTTTCTTGCCTTTTCAAGAAGGGAGACATACCAACTAGATAGATCCTTGTTCAGGATGCTTTTTGGAATCATTGCACACAGAGAGAAAAGGTTCTCTTCCAGAGTTCCTGTTGGGGTTTTTTTTTTTTTTTTTTCTGTTTATTTTAAAATCTTCTCTCAGAATCCCTTATATCGGCAACAACCAGCACCAGAAGACTTCAATCTGAAGCTCGTGATTTCAGGAAGCACAGCAGTGCAGGAAAACTCACTTTCTGTTGCAGTGATTTCTGTGTACATGGAAGATGCAGCTGTATTTTCTAGGATTTTGCCTCATTACCTAAAAACGTCATCACTTAAGGAAAAGAAACAGGCATTCATGGACACTGTCCTAGATGTCAGCATTGTGCAGATAGAAGCAAAATTCTGTTTCTTGGTGTGGTTTTAGTATGCTTGGAAGAGCACAGCTGAAATCAGATTGTCTTAAAAGTACTCCTGAAAATGTCTAATTACTTGCACAGAGTCTAGAAAATGTATTTTATGAGATTAAATAAATAAATAAATAAATAAATAAATAAATTTCAATTCTTGTTACAAAATTGAACATCCTTCTCAGCAAATTTGGGAGAGAGAACGGGGCCTGGGAACTTTTTGAAGAAAATATGCAGAGAGGAAAACCAAGAACAAATGAAAATACAGTAAATCAGAGGTGTTAGAAACAGCACATACAGAAACAAAAAACAGCTTTGTGAGGTTAAGCGCCACGTACTTCATCAGGACCCTTGCCCTTGCTTCCATGACTGATGTTCCACAGCCATTGCACGTATTCTGTATGTATATATGAATTCTGAGCATAGCCCTTTGACGATTCTTCAGGGCTTTGCTAATTTGTTCATTATCTTATTTCTTCTGGAAGAGAAACAGAGACTAATGTGTAATGGATAAACCCAGTCTTTGAAAGAGCACTTTCTCTCTTGCTATCCCCCCTTGATCAGCTTCTCCAGGATGGATGGATGCTTTCTGTCCATGCCCCAACTCTTCCAGTTTTTGTGTGAACCCATGTTTGGTGCTCTTGAAACTGGAGATAGGCATGTGTGGGTTTTCATGCCTCTAAAAGCAAACCTACTTTGAATGTGGAACCCAAGGCTCCCATTACAGGTAAATGGAGGCAACGTGAAAAGATCTAGTGAAACCAATACCTTAAAGCAGTGTTCCTCAACCGTGGCAGCTTGAAGATGTGTGGACTCAGCTCCCAGAACTTCCCCAGACCCAACTAACGTAC